AATAAGTGTTTAGAAGAGATTGTTTTTGACTTTTGATTCAGTGAAAAGCGTTTCAAAATCCTGAAAAATGCTCAATGAAAAGCTGAAGTTATGACACCTTTGGAGATGGTCTGACTTTAGCTGAGGAGTGCAGATATAGAAAGTGTTTCTAGAACCTGCCTTTATATTTTATACCTCAGAGCAGCTTCTTTATTTGATTGCTAATATGGGATTACACCTGCATGTGTTTTTGTTTTGCATCTGCAATTCCAGCGTTCCCACGGTCTGTTTGGTAACCGCGTGGACTCGTTTGCCGCCGAGCCTGAAAACGCTCAGGCCCAACAGATGGCCAGCCAGCGGCCCCTCAAGTTCTCTGAGAGCCAACCCGAGTCTCCACCAAACTCCTCCGCCTTGGTGCCCACAACCGAATTTTTCCCCACAGCCGCACCAAGGAACAACACTAACAACAACGCCTTTGCAGAGTGAGTACCGACGCACACTTCTAACTACTCTGATAGCGTATCCTCGGGGTGTCATTATGTCTAATGGGAGGCAATTTCTATCATCTTTCAGCTTTTCATTTGAAAGAGAAGGCAGCCCAGAAGAGTTTTACAATCCTTGTGAGGACGACGAGCCAGGTAAGGAAAAGAAATCGGGTTCAAATGAAGGGTCTCTGGAGAGTGCTTCTGAGGCCTTGAGACACTTGGAAATGGTTCAAAATTACAGACAGCCTTTTTATCCAAGGAGAGAAATGCTTTTCACAGCCTGCACATATTTATGCCTTAAAAGAAACACGTATGTTACACAAGTGAAATATGTTGGACTTATACTTACCTACACTTGACAAACTACATTATTACTTTCGGAGAGCTCACTTTTTACGCTTTATCCTTGTCAGAAACAACAGTTATAACCGATAACGCACTGGATTTGGCTTTTATTTATTGTTACACCTGTTAACAAGAATAGGAATAATACGAATAAGAAAACAGATGAACATTACATGCTGCTGCTGATTTCAGCACCACAGAGTTTTCTTGTTTCTGGCATGTTTTTTTTCTGATCTTTGAGTTAAAGTGAGTGAAGTTTATGAAATTGCACCACACCACATTTCAGCGGTAATGGCAAGAGCAGCATGCATGCTGGTATCTTTATTAAAGTGACTTGGTGATGAATCACCCTCATGCATAAATCATACATCAATAATAACCTCATTTTACAAACGATCCATGATGATGAAGGTACGGGAAAATGGAAACGTGTGGCAAAAATGGCATCCTGTCAGTATTTTAGAGACCTTCCAAAATGTCACAAATCCTGCTCTCAGTCGAGCTCCCAGCTTACAAACAGGTTGTACACACACGTACATATAACACAAACATCCACACACTGTGTTTGTTGAGGTATTGTTTTACAACCGTCCTTAGAATAGAATAGAATAGAATAGAATAGAATAGAATAGAATAGAATAGAATAGAATAGAATACTTTATTGATCCCCCATTGGGGACATTTACACACCACAGCAGCATCCAAAAACATAGAAAGTACAAGAAAATAACAAATAATTAAGCAAAATGCGTCCCCAGTGTCCACACACAGCAGGTCCAAGGCCCCACTGTCACCGGCTGGACTGTCCACATGTAATTAAAAATCATGACATTGCTTTTTAATTGTGGTTCAAAAGAAATATTTAAAAAAAAAAACAAGCAAGCATGATAGGACCCCTAAACTAATATATTGTTGAACAACCCTTTGAGCCAATCACTGCAATCAAGTGTTTTCTGTAACTCTCAGTCAGATTTCTTCACCTGTTGACAGGTGTTCTGACCCACTGCTCATCAGCAAACTGCTCTAATTTGTCTGGGACAGTTTTGTTTGTTTTTTAAATTGTTCTTTTCAACCATAATTCAAAAGCGAAGTCTTATTTCATTAAATTATAATTTGGAAAATTATATTATATTTATTATTACATTTTTTCAGTTTCTACTTATTTGAGTGACTATTGTGAATTTTGCATTTTCTTTAATGGAAGGATATAAATACATTTGAGGACGACTGTAGGGCTGCTATGGCAGAAGACCTGAAACACCTGCCAAAGCCAACCCTCCTCCACTTCAAAGCCCAGTATACAGCATACTTTAAACTGACACCGACCCAAATACTGGCAAAAAAAAAACCCCAAATGACTGAAGAGGGACTTGTCCGTACTTTGCGTTTGTTCCTTGTGTATTCACTTATTCATTTGCCCTTTTTCAGACAGCAGACGCTCCTGGAGCTTCACAGTGAGAACAGACAAAACACAGGTAGTATTTAATTGAAGGTCAACTCATCCATTGATGATGAACAGATGTTTTATGCGATGCATGTCTTTTCTGTGCAGTTCCCTTATGAACCCGTCTGTGGCGACAGTCAGAGTCAGAGCTCTCGCACTGCAGCCGACCAGCTTATCCGGGAGGTAAGTGTGGAAGTGACCGATCAACTCTTTTCACACTAATTAAATATCACCTCTATTAGTAGGAAATGCCTTGATCCGCCGTCAGATCTGTCACGTGTAGGTGATAATAACCTACGTCCCTTTTCAGAACTGAGCTCATTTCTTGGTCACAAGTCAAGGCCAATCCTGGAGTAAATTAAGTTTTTGTTTAAGAACCAATTACATTCATTTCAAAGGCAAAACTGACTGCTCATCAACTGGGAAACTCAGATCACGCTGAGCAGATGGCTGAGTCTGTTGGCTGCGCTTGTTGCATCCAGATTAGTTTTACAGAGTGGAAGAGCTCATTTAAAGCCATTATTTAAATGAAAAAATCACTATAATTATTATTTACAGACCAAAAATAAATTTTTGGATTTTTTTTTTTTTTTTTTTTAGATCACCTCATCAATCGTACCTTCTGCTCTTCAGTGTTGTCCACAGTTTGCTTTAAGCCTGTGGTTGATAAGTTACGACAAGGTTTTAAGGGTCAGAGAATTTATTAGCGCTCAGTTCCTAACAGAGATGTCACAGAAGTCAGGAGAAGTCAGTTCAGAGAGCAAGTTAATGGAGACTGTGAAGCCTTCTTTTTTTTTTTAGATTTTCTTGAGCCTATTAAATACAAACTGTGCCAGTAAAGACTTTTTTTTTTTTAATTTTAGAAGTTCTGTATGACAACACAAGTTACCACAGCAGGGACAGTGGTTTTAAGGTTGATGCATTGCTGCTAATAATATACAAAACTGTTACTATATGTGAGAACCCTCCATGTTGTTTTTCTTCAGGCTCTAGTAAAAGGCGGTCTCGTCTCCCAGGCCAGAGACCCGGGCTTTGTGTCCCTCACGAAGCAGGAGATGGCCGACGCCATGCGGATGCCCATCGCTCACATGGAGGGCATGGCTCAGGGCATCCTCAGCGAACGCTCCGGCAGCAGTGCTTCTGTCAAAAAGAGACGCCCCGTCCCCGTCCCTCCTCCTGCTGTCCCTGCTGTGGCAGCACAGGAAACAGGCCGGCCAGACCCGGCTGTGAGGAGAAAGAGACGTCCAATTCCCAAGACTCCCTCCATACAGGAGTCGGAGGCCGACTCTGAAGTGTAGAGGCTGTCACTTGAGTCGATGCGGTTTCATGTGGGGTTTTTTTTTTTACACTAGTAGGTGGCTCCACCTCACCTCACTTTACCAAGCTTGTTGCCTCTTTGACAATCTGTATCTGTCAGCCTGGCTCAGGGCCGAGAGACGAGCTGGTTTAAAATATTGTCAAGTGTGGTATAAACTTAACTAAAGAGAAACAATATATCTGATGATGAAATACCTTATTCTTCAGATTTATTGAATAAAAACACTAACTTATCTCAGAGCAAACAGATTGACACACTTCTTTCTTTGTAGTGTTTGTTGAGGTTATCCATTCCATAGACTTATGGGACAACCATGTTAGTGAGCAGAGTGTCTTATTAAGGCCTCACTGAGGAGGCAGGGTAGTGAGCGGTGACTAAAATGTCTAAAGTGACTCGGTGGATACAGAAAGAAAGCAGCTGTCTTTGTTGTGCTGCACTTTACTGACGACGAGGGGAAAAGGACTCCACTTAGGGGAACCAATGAATGTCTTCGCGTCCAGGCCCAGAAACAGTTTTTTGAGGGGTTCTGGTGCTGGCAATGCAAGTAGAAGGATTGTTTTATTTGTAAAGCAGCGTCCTCAGATCTAATAGGACTCGCTGTCTTAAAGTCTTTTAATACTGAGGTTTACGAGGTTTTCTCCTGCTCACAATTGTCGTATGCAATTGAAATCAGCAGATTTTTCAAGAGGAAACTTTTTTTTTCCGAACATGGAGGTACGTGTAATCTATAATTATGAAACGGTCTAACTGTAATCAACTATTTGTTCAATTTAAAGCCACATTGTAGTCAAGCAGTGCACATGATTTTTACCAAGTCACTTTAAGTCACTGTGTTGCTACAGGTTTTATGTGTTTTTCATTTACATGAATTTCTAATCTCTTTGCATCGGGAAGTTTAGTACAGAGGAGGGTTCTTCAGCATACCTGGAGTATGGTTGATTTAGCTTAAAAATGCACTGAGGCTTATTATTTTCTTCATAATTGTGTAGGCATAACTTTTTGCACTTGTTTTATGTTTTGTGCAAACACTGACAGGCCTTCCTGAGGACTGTTTTTCTTTTATACAATATCCTCTGACGTGCCCGTGTTTCGCTGTCACACATACAGTATGTTTCAAAGGTTTTGGAAATACTGCTAGTTTGAGTGAACCGCACAAATGAATTCTCCTTCAGTTCGGAATCTGTGCCATTAAGGTTGATGTTACTTTGGTGTTCTCACCATTGGCAAAAGAAATAAATCGTTCAAAACATCAACTTTGGTGTTAGTTTTCTTTCTGCAAACAAACTGCGATGGACGTCTGACAACAACTGACTGGGATTTGGAGAAGAAACGACAAAAAAAAAGACAACGATATTGGTGAGTGCGCTGAAA